GGGCTGGAGGGGGGGCGGAGGGGACAAGGGCGGAATGCAGTCCTAGGCTGGACGGCGCCGCCGCGGCGTGCTCAGTACCGGACGCAAGCGGCCATGTCGGGGCCTATAGAAATTTAAACGGACAAGCTGCCTCTTTTCGATGACTTTATTCTTTTTTAGGCGATCCCGTTGGGGTCGGCTATACCAGACTAATTCTGCAATATCGGCACCCGGGGGGCAACCTGGTGCGTTTTGACTGGTCTTCTTAACTCCCTCCCGGGCAACAAGGAAGCGAAAGAAGGGAAAAACTGACATAATCCTAAACTGAGATTTTTTAGTGGCCATTAATCTACAGCTCAAAAGGCACATTTTCCGAAGAAAAAAAATCTGTTTGCCTACGTGCCGTAGTTCCTGAGATATGAACGAAAAAAAAGTGAGTCAAAATGACTTTACCTTTTTTGCTATAGAAGTTAACGAAAAAAAAAAACAACAACAACAACAACACGTATTTGTTAGATTTATATAACCCCCCACCGCCGTCGAGATCCTTAAAGGCGTTCTGCCTTAAACCATTTAGGGCGCATTTGAGGCATTTTCTAGAAGAGATTTAGGAAACTTCGAAATTTCGGGTTTTACGGTAGATGAGTCCGTTGCGTCCGTTGCGATGGTCCTACATCGATATGAAAAAGCAGGCCGCAGACCCCCTTTCTCTAGCCAGATGCTCTAACCTAAGGGCATACAGACTTACAAATCTAAGCGGGAGCCGTACCAAAAAGCCGCCGACAGCAATCGTAAAACAAAGGTAGTATATCCAACCTTTAAGACGCACCAAGGCTCCAAAGGCATTGCAGTTTATGGTCATACAAAATATTTGCTCATCATGGACTGAAATTGAATTCTAAGATCTATTTTCGTTAACAACAACAACAACGCAAAATTCCACGTCAAACGAGCCTACTGATCGCGCGTGATGGTGTTCCATCGAAAAATGGCGTAGGTTTATTGCATTTTTGGTACTTTTCCACTTGCTTTTCCACATGTAGGCTCATTTCACGCGGATTTTTTCGAGGAATGCGATAGTATTTGATGGGTTTGTTACCCCTACAAATATTTGAAAAACACTAAACATTTGCACTCTATAACTGCCTTAGTTTTTAGGTTTTCACTTCTAGATTCGTAGGATTTCTCACCTTTGTTTTTCACGTGAGGGCAAACCAGGAGTTGCCAACAGAGCGAAGCGGAGATGGCTACGACGTTTGGTGGAAGGGTGTGTCTAGCCTGTTTTCTTTCCATCTATCGCAATGGTGTCTGGTTTGTCTAGTTGGTGAGTCGCATTTACTGATCGTTTACCGCCTCAATCGCGTTTCTGTCGGCCTTCGCGACGGGAGTCGCGGGGCTGACACCAGTTTTATATGCGTTGCGCACTTTCCAAATCCCAACCGAGCTCGCTAGCCCCTGTGGCGCCCAGCCTCCTGCCCCCCCCCCCTTCCCCCGTTCCCCTCCTGGAGAGCCGTCCCGATCTCGCTCTCTTGCATCGCCTTCTGCCATGGGCGGTGACCCTTTCTCACGCCACTGGAGATCTCAGCAGGACCATGTTAGACCACCCGGGGCAACGCTGGACGCGGCAGCTCAACCAGTGAGCGTCGTTCGACCTTGTTTTGAATTCCACGACTATTTACGTTCTAGAATTCGTAGAGAAGAAAGGAAATTTACTATTTACATATTTTAAGAGACTAAAAAATTGACAATTGTAACTGCAAATCCAAGGTTATATAGACTTTAAACTGCTAAACAGTTGGTCCGAACAGATGAACTAACTAAAAATATTTACATGTCCTCGTTCCTTTCTTACTGATAACAAATGGAAATTCTCGCGTTTCTAATGGAGTTGAGCACTTCATGTATTATCTCCTGCATGTATAGCGTATTATAAACTCGGTATACGCTCAAAACAGCTTCAGAGAAAAAGATGTAGAACACTTGGAAGTGCAGAAATATATATAATTGCATACTAACTAACATGTTCAACACGATGCAAGATTCGATTTTCAGCGTTCTTTTAACACGTTCCGTGCCTAGGGGTTATAAAAACTTTCATCCAATTCTGTTTGTTCAAATAATGAATGCGGGTTTGTTAAAGTCAATTTTACGGGTATATGGAGAGCGACGTAACCTCAGTACCTGATTTCGATCTATCACATCAATTTGCATGGTTTTCTGTGGGTCTGGACTGGGGCTGGAGTCGTCGTCTCACGGAAAGTAGTAAAGCGCCATGCTCCCCGGGAAAGTTTGCCCTCAGTGTCATTTTCCGTAGTGTAGGCACAGGGCGTGCGTATTTGCCGACAGGAAGGCAGAAAAAAAGGAGAAAGGGTCGAAAAGAATGTGGAATGAGGGGGTAAAGGTGCTGGATGGGCATTACGGTACTACCTGCATGACAAGTAAGGAATGTACGGGCCGCCGCCTAGCTAGGAGTCGCCGCCGCCGCTCCGGGTACCACCGGGTACCGCCGGGTACCGCCAGGTACACGTGTACGGCAGTGCAGAAGGTCTAAAAGAAGCAGTGGAACACGCTGATCCGCCGCACGTACCCGTCCAGACGCCGTAATGTGGTGCTGGTCCACGCGGCGCAATGCCCAAATGATGTTGTACCGGTCGGAATGCGGCTAGGCTCGCCGTTAGCGTGCGCGTGGCAGGGCTGCCTGCCTGCAGGACACTCGACAAAATTGTTTAAAAAATAAGGTACCGAGACGAGGAGGAAAAGAACGAGGAAAAGAAAGGACTCTTAAGTAGTTGTCAGTTTGGTTGTCGGAGCGTTGAATATTGATCGATAAAAAAAATATTTACATTATACACATTGAACGTTAATTTTTTCTGAGATTTAATTATTGTTAGTTGTGAAACTTCCAACGTATCAAACATTTTTGTTGCCAAATTGATTTAAAATTTACTCTGTTTTTACAGAAACCTGGCGATCGGCATCGGCATCCAGAACTTCCCCGAGGGCCTGGCTGTCAGCGTGCCGCTGCACGCCGCGGGCTTCAGCGTGGGGCGCAGCTTGTGGTGAGTCTCTTGAGCCCTGGACCACGCCATGGTGTGTGAAGCGTGGTGAAGCTGCATGTTCACAGCCCCTTTCCGCCTCAGGTACGGCCAGCTGAGCGGCTTGGTCGAACCCATCGCCGGTGTCCTGGGCGCTGCCTTCGTTTCGCTGGCCGAGCCCGCCCTGCCCTACGCCCTGGCCTTTGCTGCCGGCGCCATGATCTTTGTCGTGGTGGACGACCTCATACCCGAGGCCAACACCAGGTAGGCAGCCATACCCCCGGTCCCGGTTGTGGTGTTCGTGGCAAAGAGCTAGATGAGTGGGTTGTGCAGAAAAGTAGAAAACGTATTTTTAAGAAATGTTGGTGAAGCAATCTTTTCTTGCCGCTAATGAAAACCTGAGCTTTTGTGTGTGATCCGGGCGATATATGTGCGCACTTCTAAAGCTACGTTTTATCTTGCAGCGGCAACGGTCGGCTAGCGTCATGCGGGGCCATTGCTGGATTCGTCATCATGATGGTGCTCGACACTGCGTTAGGTTAAACGCCTTTTCCACGCGAAATGGCTTCCAGGCTTCTTTAAGTATTATTCCGCTTTTATTTCTATTTAATGTAAGGTTTAAGTTTTATCATATTTTATTGTTTTATGACTAGGACCAAAGAGGGTATGCGAACAAAATGTCAGGGAGTGGGATGTAATGTTTTCAAAGAAATGTCGATGCGTTTTTACTGTGATGACTGTAGTTCTACTGCATAGGCATATTACATATGCAGTTTTATAAATGATGTTGTGATCTCATCGCTCGAACGTGGGTGTGCTGTGCACGTAACGGCCTACAAGGTTAGTTGCGTTTCTCTGTCTTCCAGAGTTCATTTATTGTAATGAACGTCTAAGAAGACGAGTAGATAATTATTTCATGTTTTAATATGCGACATTTCAAACTATTTGTATGTTATTGTGATTATTTGTTTTGCCTAATTCAACTAGGCATCTTGTGTGTACAATACGTCTGTCTTCCTATGGCGTTTTTCGTCAAGGTTAACACGTTCAGTGCAAAGGAACATTTACCCTATGATTCTACTCAGGCTGCCGTCAATGGGCGTGCCCCACTGAACGTGTAATTTTTTTTTTTTAAATGTTCACTTCCGTTTCAAATGTCGGTGAATACGTGTCTTTTGATGTGTTACTTGCAGCAGCAGATGACAACGGTTTGACTGAAAATGTAAACGTGACCCGGTTTTGTTTTTGTTGTGAGACTTTAGTTTTGGGGTAAGAAGACGTCATTTATTGACCAAAAATCAATCGATTTTACTTTCATAACCTGCCGTTCTCCTTCTCGTGTAACCTGGCCGGTGGCGGGCCCATTGGGGCCCGTCGGGGCCCACCAGCGGCCACCCTGGGGGACCCTAGCCACCGACCCATGATAATTGGCTCCGCTAACGCGCCTCCTAGGCCTAGGTGGGCTCTCTCCGCGCAAGTGTCCTCGCCCCACGCACAGCTCATCGAACCCACCACGACGTTAACAAAAAACGGCGTCTCTCTAGAGTTGATATGTTTGTCATTTTCTTTTTTGTACCGCAAACGGCGTCAGAAAGTGTGCATTTGGTTGCGTAAGCGCGCGGTGGACGCCATGGGGCGTTGCATGGGCGTGCCTATGCGCTCACTGGCTCACGGTATTCCCGCAGAACTGCGCCTCGACACGGCTCCGCCGCACCCAGCGCTGTTTAGTCTCCGCAATGCAGTCTTCGCGTTTCCACGAACTCACTCCTCTGCAAAAGGGACCTCCTGCACTGATATCTGAAAGTGTGCAACCTCTGGCAAGCACTCGCGAGTCGTGTTTAACACCGTGTCGGGGATACCTGCAGGCGTTCAGTCTGTGGGGAGATGTGTGGAAATGTTGGATTGGGAGATGGGTTTAACACTAACTAAGAGTTCAAATTGCCAGTCCAGCATTTGTAAGTACTCATACTTGCGGCTAAATGCCCCAGGTATTCGGCACGATCTCTAACAATCGCAAGTGCTTGCTCGGTCGTGCGCACCTTAGACATCAGAGCGGTCCTCTAGGGGTGGCGGACGCAATTTTCTGTAGAACAAAAATCTGCGGTACAGCAGAGCTGGTGACCCACACTGTGTATGATTGCGTGCATGTACCGGGTGGGTGTGTGCGTGTATCTTGAATGCGCTCCAGTGTTGCGAGATTGCCTACTCTGTCCGCGCGCAAGGCGCCATTTGGGCCCTGCTGCAGCCCTAGCGAAGTATGCAATCCCGCAACACTGGAGAGCCCATATTCAAAGACACACCCGGTACCGGCGGCGTCTGCTCGTCGCCATACACACGCCAGCGGGCCGGAAACTGACCAAAGTTTTATCGGAGTGCAATGTGCACTACCCATGGGTACGGCTCCGCAAACGCAGGCCGGGAGATAGGCTCTGTGTGTGTGAGTGTGTGTGGGGGAGGGAGGGAGGGAGGGAGAGAGAGAGAGAGAGAGAGAGAGAGA